TATGAGTGCTAAGAGTGCACAACCACAGTAATAGAGCACCTATCTAGCATGGATCATTTTCTGGGTTCCTTCTCCAGTACCACATAAAAATATACATTTATACTCTGTATTGGGAGATAAAGTTAGGAGAATTTCTCACAAAGAAAGATGAAAAATAATGGCAAGATATACATGGAGAAGTAAAAAGAAAGCGATCAACCCCAGAACTGAACACTAAATAACAGGATTTCTAAGAGGAGAGAGAACAGAAATTGGAGGGGAGGAAATTGTCAAGTAAGCAGAGGAAATGTCCTGCACCTGAAGGAGCTGGGTTCTAGAATAGGAATAGCTGCCTCGAGGATGGGAATTATAGAAAAACTACTGCGTAGAAGAGGTTATATAGATGGGACATGCATTCATTCCTTCAACTCAGTCTACCTTTTGGAAAAGGGGCTTTGGAAAGTGTGTTGAATGAATGAATGTTCATATTGGAGAACTGTGTTCTATCCACAAAGATTGCATTGTTTCTGTTTATTCCAAGCTCACCCAAAGGGGAACTACAGCAAAGGGTCATAGAAGGCACTTCAGGAGGCTCTGCAGGGTAGAGGTGTAGGAGCAAGTGGAGGACAGAGAAAGGAGTACTAGATGTCAGCAGCCACTTCCTAGAAAATAAATACAAGTGAGTAGGCTCCAGAGAGGGATAGCTGCCCTCCAGGCAGCACCAAAATGGGAGGAGGGAGAAGTAACTTATATACCCCTGGTAAGGGACCAGCTTTGTCACTTTCTACAGCAATGCTTTGCAACCCAGGGGCAGATGTCGTAGGTGAAACAAGGGGATTGGCAAGACAGGAAATGTCCTAAGAGCAAGCCAATTGAGGGTCAAGTTTGGGATATTAAGAAGGAAATATTCTGAGTTCCTATGTGTTAAGATCCAAATGGTCTTTGGAAAAGAACACCCTGAAAACAGAAGTTAGGAAGATTCCTTGCAGGTTTCAATAGAAGGGAGGAGTAGGGAAATTTTTGTGTACACAGTCAAACTTTAGGATTTTTTTTTTATTTTCAGAGTAGATGTTGGGGTGAAACAATATGGATTGTTGGTGAGGCTCAGAGCCCAGGCTGCCTGTTTCCTAGCTGAAGTAAAAGAGAGATAGGTCACTGGTTTGAGACAGGTTGAGAATGTGACGGTTGTGAAAATTTGACAATAACAGGATTTCTGAACATGTATCAAACAAAAATTGATGCAAAGTCAAATGTCTAATGAACACAAGGTGTTTGGGGCAGTGCTTGCCACTGTTAGATTGTGCCACTCCAGTGCAGCCTTGATTCTGACACACACCATGCGTGCTTTGCATTGCAGATGTTGTCACACCATGCAACACCAACAGTTGCTGACAGAAACACCTTTACCTGAGATGGAAACTGTTGTATTATGCATTTCAGTGTCTTGTTTTTGTGTGTGCAGGTATATGTGTGTGGGGACATATGATGACCAAAGTCCTAACTTCAGCTGTCATTCTTCAGATGGCAACTTTTTGCTATTGTTTTTGTGCATGTGTGTGGTGTATGCATGTGCATGTGTGTGTGTACATCTCAGCCTACCCACTGCTCAGCTCTGCCTTTTGTTCAGTTTCAAGAATCTGGCTACTCCTGGCTCTCAGCTCTGCACTCTAGCTGTTCTGCTATTGCTGTCCTTCTCTGCCTCTGGCACTGCCTCACTGTTGTTTTTCTCATTTCCAACTGAGCCTGAAAAGGTAAAGAAAACTGCTTAAGAATAGCCTTTTATGAGTATAATGTTACATCCAAGCCTGCTTGCTTATATAGCCAGAGAAGGGGTATTTGTACCCATAATAGCAAACATCTTGTGCAAATGAGGGTTTGTGTTTGCACTGGCCAGCAGTGTTCCTTTTCCACCAATCACAGAATTCCCTCTAATAGACCACTAGGGAAAGTATACCTTCTCTGGCTACAGAGTCACCTCCAGTTCACTGAGGTTTCTGATAGCAAAACATCTGGTACAAACTGTTTGAAACAGTCCTCACTGGGCCTCATATTTTCAGAGCCAAAGCAAGCAGCTGGATTATCATGTGTTTTCCTGAATGTGTCAGAGGAGTGTTTAAAACAGCTGGTGCTAGAATAAGAACAGGCATCTGGCTGTTTGACTGACAGTCCTTTTGCTCAAGGAAGATGGGGCAGCAAGGGAGACTACAGTAGCTCAACAATAGTGAGTTAACACAACCCCTCCCCAATATTTTCTTACAAGAAAATGAACTTCAGATGGAGTGGTTATGAGAATGTAAAGAACTTATCAACCCTAATAATGATTTTAACAGTTTTTTAAAAGTGCTTTAACAATGCTTAACACCTGCTCAGTGCCTCAGGGCAGGTAAATCTTGGAGTCTCATTGAATGTGAGATGAAGGAAGAGAAATTAAGGACCTCATATAATTACAGATTTCTTGTTAAGGGATCTTAGTAAATTGTGATACTATTCACGTAAGAATAAAGAATATAGGAGGCTACGGAGATGGTTCAGTAGTTCAAGTGCTTGCAAGCATAAGGACAGGAGTTTGGATTCCCAGAACACACATAAATGCCAGGTGGGTATGACAGCCCATTGTAATTCCAGCCTTGAAAGATAGAGACAGGGGATCCTCATAGAAAGCTGGATAGTGAGGCTAATTGTATCAACAGATTCTGGGTTTCATTGAGAGAAAGGTGGAAGAGCCATCAAGGATGATTCCTGACATTGACCTTAGGCCTTCACATGAATGTACAACATTGCATGTGTACCCCACACATGCAAATACTACAATTGTGTACACACCATACACATGAGAGCCTGAAAAAATGGACAAAGGAAAAAATGGAGGATTTAAATAGGAGAAGAAATTTAGGAACTAAGGTAGTGTTTCATTCTGGATCTGTTGGGTCAATCAGCTTGAACATGAGGGCTGGAGATGAAGATCTGGAGCTGATACAGAGGGTTTTATGAGATTTTCCATTATTGCTGCTTAGCATTATTGTGATATTATAGTATTGATTAGCAGTAAAACACCTTTTCCATCTGATTAAAAGATGATGTTTGTGTGGCTAAATGCACAAAATACACAGCTTAGTGCTTTTTGAGATAAGGTCTTGCTATATAGCCATGGCTGACCTGGAACTCATTGTGTAGGTCAAGCTAGCCTTGAATTTGGAGTGGCACTCTGCATTTGTATCATGATTACACGTGAGCCACCATACCTGGCTAGTGATTTGTAAAAGCATTTGTGTTTATTTTGTTTTTATATAGTGTGTGGTGTAGTTACATGCATGTCACAGTGTGAAAATCAGAGGACAACTTGCTGAAGTCAGTTCTCTCCTTCCACCATGTGGGTTTCAGGAATCAAACTCATATTGTCAGCCTTGGTGGCATGTACCTGACCCTCAGAACCCCATAATACTTGTCTGTCTTCCATATTAGTAGGTCCCATAAGAAGTGGATTTTTTTTTTCTAAATTGGGAGTGACCATCTCTGGACATATCTGTTTGTTTTTAAAGATTTATTTTTATTTTGTATATGAATGTTTTGCCTGAATGTCTGTCTACATGTGCACTGTGTGAGTTCCTTGTGCTTGCAGAGGCCAGAAAAGTATATCAGATACTCTAGAATGGTTGTGAGCTATCATATGGTTACTTGGGAAAAAACCCAGATGCTCTACAGAAACAGTAGGTGCTCTTAACCACTGAGCCATCACCCCATCCCTTAGTTTTGTTTTGTTCTGTTATTTTTTAAAAGATTCTATTTATTTATTTATTTATTTATTATGTATACAACATTCTGCTTCCATGTATATCTGCACACCAGAAGAAGGCACCATATCTCATAACGGATGGTTGTGAGCAACCATGTGGTTGCTAGGAATTGAACTCAGGACCTCTGGAAGAGCAGTCGGTGCTCTTAACCTCTGAGCCATCTCTCCAGCCCTTGTTCTGTTATTATTAAATTACGCCTTTGAGAGGTAGTTTTCACAGCCTGGTCTACATAGAGAAAACCCTGTCAGAGAGAGACTGAGGGTAGGGGCGCAGAGAATATAATATCAAATAGATACTTGTGTATATGTATAAAAGATTCTTTAGAGCACATACCTAGAAATGTGTTTTAAGTTTGTATGATGGCTATGTATTCAAATGTACCAAATAAGGTGGTTGTAACAGTTTCCCCTCCCGCTAGGAGTGCAGAGTTGCCATGCTTCTAACCTCTGCTAACATTCCATGCTACTGGGCTTTGTCATTTTACCCAATCTGTCAGTTGTGAAATGGTATCTCTTTGTGGTTTTAGTTTGTATTTTCCTGACTGACGTGAAATTAAGCAACTTTGCATATTTCTAGGGACCACATTTGTTGTAATCCAGGCAAACCTGGCCCTGCTCCTCACCCACCAGCGCATGGCAGATGTGTGTACCCTGACTCCACCCACTTCTGTTCTCTCTTTCCTGTTGTTCCCTGAAGGGATAGACAGGACTTTTCCTGTCTCCCTCTTCTCTACTGCCCTCTCTATCTCTGTGTCTCTTTGCCTCTTTTCTCTTTCCTTCCCCCAACCCTTCCCTTTCTGATAAAACTTCTCTGTCTGCCTGACATGTTTGTTCCTCATCTGCCATGGAATCCGCCAAGGTTCCACACGCTTTATTATAATACCATTTATGTGTTCTCGTCTGTGAAACTCCCACCCAATAGTTTTGCAGGTTTTTCATGGGCTGGCATTTTCTCATTGACTCTTAGTCTTTTATGTTGCAGATGCTAGTCCTTTGTCACAGTTGCATGAGTTACTGATCAGCACTCTTCCTTTTTCATCCTGCAAATCTAGTCACCCAAGGAGAAGTGCTGTAAGCACACCTGGAGAATGAAAGTCTCAGGCCCTCACTTCTATTCTAGACACTTTAGTGACATAGCCCTGTGGGTGTGAACAGAGCAGGGGCTGGCACTGGAATAAGTCATATCACAGTACTGACTACTGCTGACCCATGGTGCTTGCCTTTGCAGGTGGAACAGGAGGATTTTGTAATGGAAGGGCATGGCAAGACTCCACCTCCTGGAGAAGAAAGCAAACAGTGAGTCACAGTTTATTAAAAGGGTCCTATTACAGATCCTCAGAAGCACTTGGTTCAGTGTGCTGAGAGCAAGTTTGCTGGGCTGTGTATACATCGGAGATACAGTAGGGCACACCAGTTTCTTTGTTGATACATTACTTCTATTTATATACTAACTAGAGGGACAAGAAAGTTGGCTTTGTTGTTTTTCCGCACTTGGCTAATCAAAATTTATGTTATGTTTAGGCAAAGGCTTTAAGCCTCAGGATGTTCTAAATTGAACTAATTAAGTTTGGGTGTTTTCCAAAGTATGAAATGGTGCTTCCTTTCCTTAGCAATGTCTTCATGAAGGAGGCTCAATTACTAGCTTGTCTGCACACCCCAAGTGTGTACATGGTACTTCCTGAAATTCAATTCCAGTGATAATTGAAACTTCTGATCATTATTTAAATATCAAAGTTTTTATCTGATGGAACAAGGGCTTTAATACCATAACTTAGCCAGCATTCTCAGGATTTCAGGATTTATCTCCTCCAACATCTGAAAAGGTGGCTGATTTTAAACTTCAGTTTGGCACATTTGTTGTGGCTTTTTAGTGGTGGTGAATAGATTTTATTTTCCCTCATCTGTCATAGGATTTAGAAATTGTGCTTCAAAGCAGACTGGTTTTTCATATGCCCTTTTAAAGGAAAAACACTTAAGATGGGCTTAAAGCACTGACATAATTCTAAGTTTTATTTAGACAGTAGTTTCCTAAATTGAATGGGATGGTGATTCATAGGATTCACCAAAAATCTGTAAAGAAAAACTCCTCTTCTTCGTCTTTCTCCCTCTTTTTTTTCCTAGAAAATAGTTTATTTTGGTGTATCTTAAGAAAATGTTTCCTAAACCCTTAGGAATGAATTATGCAGAATAGACTGTGCTGCCAAGAGGCCAGCCTCATTAAAAGAGAGTGCCTTGTCTTGTGTTTGTTGTGAATGGAAACTAGGAGATCTTCACAGCCGTTTAATTTGCTAAGCTGGCAGTTTTTAAAATAGCTCACAGTATAAATCCTAACTTTTCTCTGATCTGTCTAATGCACTTTCATTTTAGATGGGTTGATGGAATCCATCCCTCTTTAGGGAATTAGAATGCCAAACCTCTATTTGGTCTCAGTGCAAGGCAGAAGTACTTCTGGTGATTTTCTCCATAGCCCCACCCACTCTCCTACCCCACAATCTTGTCCTATAAAAATCACAATTTCGAAGCTGGGCTTTGGTAGTGCACGCATTTAATCCCAGCACTTGGGAGGCAGAGGCAGATGGATCTCTGTGAGTTCGAGACCACCCTAGTCTACAGAGCAAGTTCTAGGACAAGGCTATACAGGGAAACCCTGTCTCGAAAAACAAAAACAAAGAAATACCACAATTTCATTTGTCAAGGGCTTTCTGTATTCAAGGTAGGTACGTGATATTATTACATTTTTTAAGATTTACTTATTTTTACTTTATGTATATGGGTGTTTTGTCTGAATGTATATTTATGTATGCACCACATGCATGCCTGTTTCCCATGGCCACTAGAAGAAAGCATCAGATCCTTTGGAACTGGAGTTGCAGATGGTTGTGAACTGCTTTGGGAATGCTGGGAATCAAACCTTGGTCTTCTGGAAGAGCAATCAGGGCTTTTTGTTTGTTTTGTTTTGTTTGTTTGTTTGTTTGTTTTACCACAGAGCTATCTCTTCAGACCCAGTGCCCAGAGATCAGCCATGTCAGGAAAACTCAGAGTTTAAGATTTGCTCCCGGCCGGGCGTTGGTGGCACACGCCTTTAATCCCAGCACTCAGGAGGCAGAGGCAGGCGGATCTCTGTGAGTTCGAGGCCAGCCTGGTCTCCAGAGCGAGTGCCAGGACAGGCTCCAAAGCTACACAGAGAAACCCTGTCTCGAAAACAAACAAACAAACAAACAAACAAAAAAAAACAGAATTGATCCCAAATCTTGCTGATTTAAGGTGCTTATAGTATTATTCTGTCTGTTCTTTTGCTATCCCTGAGCAGTGCTCCTGAAAGGGACTGTGGTTTACACAGAGACAGAAGTTAAGGTCAAAGTCCCATGAGTAATAGGAAGTTGGGAAAAACAGTGAAAGGGCTTTAGGAATATTTCCTAGACACCAATGAAAGTTCTGTTCTTTAGAGGGTGCCCATTTCTTAAGCAAACCTGTCTTTGTCTTCAGAGACCTTCTCTGGTATAACCTTCAATGAGTTGGCTTCTTCCAGAGCTCAGAAATCCAGGGGGAGGGGCAGATTCTACACATATGTGTGTTCTGCTTTTAGAGTTTCATAAATTTGAATATCTTGTGTGGTATCTTTACCATTCTCTAGAAGCCCCCTAAACCCTGAGGTTTTGTTGTGGTGGATTGGTTTGGCACTACGGATGGAATTGAGGGTCTTGCAATTTGTTGGTGAGCGCTAAAGCATAGTCCCAGCCCTCATTTGTTTGTTTTTGTTCATTCATTAATTAGTTGATTCATTTATTCTGGGTCTGCTCTGTTACCATCTATTGAAGTAATTAAGCAGAAATGTTCCTTCTCTTCCTAAATATCTGTTTACCCTTTGTGAGAGTCAGGAGCAAATAAAGTTTTCATTTGTTTGTTTTATGGTTTCTGTGTCATATTCCCTCCCACACCCCCGTGGTACTGGTGATTGGACCCAGGTAAATGCTCTGCCACTATAGTCTATACTCAGCTCTTACACAGACTCTAACTTAACATTTTTCCAGATTTGTTTGGAATTTGCTCCCAAATTGCTCATTTATTGTTAAAACAGGCTATGTAAATAAATACCCTGTTACTTGGAAGGAGGGCAGATGAAACTCAAGGGTTATAAAATTTACTTAAGATCACAGAGAAAATTCTTGTAAGGATTAAGACTAAACTTATTTTGTTAGCTAGGCTATTCTTTGTTTCCCATTTAATTTATTGACCACAACAATTACTCAACACAGCATTATATTCTATTTTATTAACAGGAAGACTTAGGTTTCTGTACACTCTGTTAAGAGTAGTGGACTCTGATAGTGTGATTGTAGTTTAGTGGTATGTTGCTTGCCTATTGTGTGCAAGGCCCTGGGTTTGAGTTCCCCAGGGCTGCAAGAATGAAAAAAGAAAAAATGAACTTTGAGTGTGATGACTCATACCTATAATCCCAACGTTTAGGAGATGGAGGTAGGAGAACCATTCAAGGTTACCTTCAGCTACATAGTAAGGTCTAGGCAAGCCTGGGTTACTTGAAATCTTGTCTCAAAACGACAACAAAAACACCCCAAACACTTGCAAACAAACAAGCAAACAAACAAAAAAAGAGACTTCTGATATTGAGGAATTACTGTGCTAAACTACTATTAGCTTATTACTAAATATAAATTTTTATTATCATGTATTTATAAGCTTATAAATATTTAGATTAATGGACACATATATTATTTGGATACTGCTTTTTTGTTTTGTTTTGTTTTTCGAGACAGGGTTTCTCTGTATTGTTTTGGAGCCTGTCCTGGAACTGTAGACCAGGCTGACATGGAACTCACAGAGATCCACCTGCCTCTGCCTCCCGAGTGCTGGGATTAAAGGCATGTGCCCGGATACTGCTTTTTAAAAGATTTGTTTGAATTTTATTTGTTTATATCTGTATGCCTGCATGTTTGTATGCCACATGTCTGTGGCTATCTAGAAACCAGAAGAGAACATCAGATTTCCCTGGAACCAGAGTTAGAGGTGGTTATGAGCTACCTGATGTAGGTGCTAGGAATCGAGCTCGTCCTTAGAAAAGCATCAAGTATTCTAACCCACTGAGCCATCTCTCTATCCCTTTTCAGAGGAGTTTTGTTATTAGTATGTCTAGTATAATTTTTTTTAGGATATCCACTTTAAGAGTGTTACTATAGCAAATCAGATAAGCCAAGGTTATTGCCTTAATTACTACATTTACATCAGACAACTTTAATTGCATAATGTGCTTAATGGGTGAGTAAAAATAAAAACCATGGGGACTGGAGAGATGGCTCAGTGGCTAAGAGCACTGGTTGCTCTTTCAGAGGTCCTGAGTTCAATTCCCAGCAATGACATGGTGGCTCACAACCATCTGTAGTGGGGTCTGATGCCCTCTTCTGGCATAACATTGTACACGCATACAGAGCACTCATAAATAAATTAAAAAATAATAAAAGCCATGATGTTTTCTTTTTGTTTGTTTGTTGTTTTTGAGACAGGGTTTTTCTGTGTAGTCCTGGCTGTCTGAAGCTTACTCAGTAGACCAGCTGGCCTCGAACTGGGATCAAAAGCATGCACCACCATCCTTTTTGTGATGACTTTAAAACACAGCATGTGCAGATTGTTCATATATTGTGTTGTATCATGTGTAGTAGTTACTTTCCTACTGCTGTAACGGAGTACCTGGCAAAAGCAACTTAAGGATGTTAGGGTTTATTTAGGTTCATAGTTTGAGGGAATCCATCATGGTGTGTGGCGGCAGCTGGTCACATTGTGTAACATTCAGTCAGTGGAAAGATGAATGCTAGTACTCATGTTGTGACTGGTTTTCATTTTCATTTAGTTTCAGATCCTAGCCCATGGGATAACACTACCCACGTTCAGCATGGGTTTTCCCTCAGTTAAACATCTTTGGAAATACCTTCACTACACTCAGAAGTGTGTCTCCTAGGTAATGGTAAATCCAGTCAAGCTTCATCATTCCATGCTCTTGGAGAGCTCAGTCTCAAGCATGGAAAGGGAGAAAAAGATTCTTTTTGCTGTGGTGGTCCTTGTTTTATATCTGGCCACTCTATTTAACACTATGTCTTTTTGTTTTCTTTTGATTGTTTCTTTTTTTTTTTTAACCTACAGAACTAGGGATTGACCCTAGGGCCTCACACATGCTAGCCGTGCACTCTGTTACCAAACCTGTTTCTGCAGTCATCTTTTTACTTTTTAAATATCGAGGCTCACTAAATTGTGTGGGCCTGTCTTAAACTCACTGTGAGCCTAGGATGGCCTTGAATTTTTTTGGTCCTCCTGCCTCAGGCTCTGGAGTAGCTTCAGAGGAAGGTCTGTGTAGACCTGCAACACTTCTTTTTAGAATTACTGTTTTGATGGTTGTTTCAAATCCTTGAACATCTCTGTGGCATCTCCTAAATATGGGAACCATGAAAATATTCTCAAATCACAAAATTTACAGTTAACTCATCTTCAAATCTTAAACTTGTTAGTTGGTCATAGGCAGAGAGTTCTTTTTTATTTTTATTTATTTGTTTGTTTTTGCTTGTTTATTTTGATGACAAGGTCACACTATGTAACCCTGGCTGTCCTGGAACTCAGAGACATCCACATGCCTCTGCTGAAGTTAAAGGCATATGCTCCTAACAGACAGATTTTTAAAAAATTTCATTTATCGCCAGGCATTGGTGGCTCGCGCCTTTAATCCCAGCACTTGGGAGGCAGAGGTAGGCGGATCTCTGTGAGTTTGAGGCCTGCCTGGTCTCCAGAGCGAGTACCAGGATAGGCTACAAAGCAACACAGAGAAATCCTGTCTCAAAAAACCAAAAAAAAAAAAATATTTATCATCTTATATGTATGTGTGTTTGCTTACAGAAGAATCATGTATGCATATACATCATGTGTGTGCCTGGTACCTGCAGAAGACAGAAGAGATCATCAACTCCCCCCAAAACTGGAGTTATTGGCAGTTGTAAACAATTGTGTGGGTGCTGGGAACTGAACCCAAGTTCTCTAGCAACAAGTGTTCTTAACTGCTGAGCCCCCATAGGGAGGGTTTGGGTTTTTTGTTGTTGTTGTTGTTGTTTAATTTTAATTTTGTGCTTGTTTGCTTGCTTGCTTGCGACGGGGTCTCACTGTGTCTGGCTGACCTGGAACTAACTATCTACACTAGCCTGGCCTTCAACTCCTAGAGTGATCTGCCTACCTCTCTGCCTCCCAAATTATAGGATTAAAGGCATGCACAACCAAGCCATGCCTATTTTGTGTATTGTATAACCAGGTTTTCACAAATTGTTGCTTCTGCCTCTGCCTTCCCCTCCTTGTCCTCATTCTTTCCCCCTTCTTTGAGCCATTAGAACATAAGAATGTTGAAATCAATTTGTTAAGAAATACTAAGTTGAGAGGCTGGAGAGTTAAGCTCAGCAGTTAAGAGCACTGACTGCTCTTCCGGAGGACTCAGGCTCGATTCCCACCTGGAGGCTCACAACTGTCTGTGACTCCAGTTCCAGGAGACCTGACACCCTCACACAGACATACATGTAGGCAAAACACCAACGCACATGAAATAAAATAAATTTAAAAAAGAAATACTAAGTTGAACTCTCTGCAAACTCAGGAATTACCCAGGAAGCTAGAGAGCAAGAGAATACTGTACTTTTTTATGTAATCTTTTCAGAATTGTAGGAAAGAGAAATTAGGAATTTTGCTTTCAAGTTAATTGTTATTTTTTGAGTGCCATAGTAGTTTAATAGATATTTTACCTCATGAAAGTTTTGCTTTTAAAAATTTGGGTGAAGGGCTGGAGAGATGGCTCAGAGGTTAAGAGCACTGACTGCTCTTCAATAAATAAATAAATAAATAAATAAATAAATAAATAAATAAATAAATAAATAAATAAATAAATAAATAAATAAATAAATAAATAAATAAATAAATAAATAAATAAATAAATAAATAAATAAATAAATAAATAAATAAATAAAATCTTTTAAAAATTTTGGGTGAAACCATCAATACTTGTATACCATCTGTGGGAAATTTTCTGATGCTAATAAATTTTTCAATTTGCATTGAAGTTGCTTAAAAGAATTACTTCTCAGAAAAAAATGTCTTTTTGTCTCTTGAGTGTCTCATAATGAATAAGCTCTGGATTCTGTTTTGTAAGTTTCTCTTCAGATACCTGTGAGACTGGTCTCCTCTTGTAAGTGACATTAACCAACAATAGGTAGGGTGGCTCACATAGCTCATAGAAAATTGGGATTAATTCATTAGAAGTCTTATTTTAATTTGCTTTTTTGAGATAGGGTCTCACCATATAGTCAGGCATAGCCTTAAACTCCTTATCTAGACTAGGCTGGCCTCAAACACGTAGAGCTAGATCCTCCTGCCTCTGCCTTTCAAGTGCTAGGATTAAAGGAGTGCACCAATCGGGTGGTGCATGCTTTTGATTATTACATGGGGTGAACACCCACGTCTGCCCTCAGCACTTTTCTTGGACTCCTCTCCCCACCAAGAATCCATAGATATGTAGGGATGCAAGGAAGGTGCAGCCTGAGGATACACAGCCCAAAGGCCCAGTTCTGTGAGACTTTCTGCTAGACCCCAGCTCTGTAAGCACAAATGAAGATTTTGGTTGCCTTGGTCTCTACCTAAGAAGTACCTACTGGACTAAAACTACTAATAAATACATTCTGAATGAATGAAGGTGGCCCTAAATCCCCATCCCTGTCTCACACATGCACTTTAAAAATCTGAAATGGGAAGTTGTCAAGAACCCTGACATTCTAAGATGTTATTTGTTTTGTTTTTGTTTTTCAAGACAGGTTTTCTCTGTAGCTTTGGCTTGTCCTGGAACTTGATCTGTAGACCAGGCTGGACTCTAACTCACGGAAATCTCCCTGCCTCTGCCTCCAGAGTGCTGGGATTAAAGGTGTGTGCCAACACTAACTAATGTTATTTGTTAGTAGCAAAAGAAAAAGTAGCTGATAACATGTTGTTTGACTCTATATCCAGGGCTTGCTTCCCTTTTTTGTTTTGTTTTGTTTTCAAGATGATGTTTTTCTGTGAAGCCCTGGCTATCTTAGAACTCACTCTGTAGACCAGGATGGCCTCTAATTCAGAGCTCACCTGCTGGCCTCCCAAGCGCCAGCATCAAAGGTGTGCACCACTCCTCCCCCCCCCCAATTTGATATCTGGAATTTTCTCGACTATCCCAGCAGATAGCTTAGCTCAGTGCTGCTCTTTTCAAGTGTTCCTACTGGTAAGCCCATCATTGCTTATTGTTTACTTTGTGGAAAATTCTAGCCTCTTAGCTGCCTTTTTTTTTCTTTTTTTTTAAGGGATTATTTCCTTATTTCTTTGTTTCTAATGGCCTCTATCAGACACTTCTAGCCTTCCCACAGATCTGCACTGCTGTTTAAGAACCTGTGCTGCCCCTTGCACAGCTGGTCCACCTCCCAGTACCTCTGCTCAGGCAAAACAATGATGCTTTCTTGCCAGTAAGAAGTCAGGGTTATAAAGATGCTCCTTAAGAAAAAGATAATTAGTTTCAAATAAATAATTGGGTTCAAAAGTGAAATGCTTACTTTAAAATTGGTATATTTATGGGGACAACGTGATGTTTTGATATATGTATACATCAAATCATGGTAATTAACATACTTATCACCTGCACACCAGAAGAGGGCACAGATCTCATAACGAATGGTTGTGAGCCACCATGTGGTTGCTGGGAATTGAGCTCAGGACCTCTGGAAGAGCAGTCAGTGCTCTTAACCTCTGAGCCATCTCTCCAGCCCATAGAATCCAGTTTTGTTTTGTTTTGTTTTGTTGTTGTTGTTATTGTTGTTTTTGTTTTTTTGGTTTTTCGAGATAGGGTTTCTTTGTTTAGCTTTGGAGCTTATCCTGGCACTGGCTCTGGAGACCAGGCTGACCTCTAATAGAGATCCGCCTGCCTCTGCTTCCCGAGTGCCAGGATTAAAGGCGTGCACCACCAACGCCTGGCTTATTATTGTTGTTAAGAGACCATTAAATACCATTTCTTTTAGACATTTGAAACATAAAGCACAGCTGGACATGATATATGCCTATAATACCAGCACTCAAGAGGCTGAAACTGGATGATTCAAAGTTCAAAGTCGACAGGCTTGGTGGTTCATGCCTTTGATCCCAACACTTGGAAGGCAGAGGCAAGAGGATCTCTGAATTTGAGCTTAGTCTGATCTAGAGAGAGAGTATGTGTTCTCTGTTAAAGATAGAAAGCCTGTCTTGAAATATTGAGGGGATGAGGAGTGAGTGTTTCTAAAAACCAAGAGCTGGGGATACTCAGTGGTAGAGAACTTGGCATGTTCAAGGTCCTAGGTTTGATTGCCAGCACTGACATCATATATATTACTATTGTATCTGTAGTTAAACTACTGTACAGTAGAACACCAGAAGTATTCTTCTTGAGTAACTGGAAACTACCTGTTGGCCAGCTTCTCCCCATCTCCCACAACCTGATGTTCTTCTAGCTTCTGGTAATTGCTGTTCTGCTCTGAACAGTTTTTTAGATTCTATCATTGGGTGTGATTGGTATTTGTCCTTTCTGTGCCTGGCTGTCTTAGTTACTTTTTTATTGCCATGAAAAGATGTCATGACCAAGAAAACTTACAGAAGGCAGACCTTATCAGGGCTTAGAGTTACAGAGGGTTAGAGTTCATGACCACTATGGCCAGGAACATGGCAGCTGGCAGGCAGAAATGGTGCTAGAGCAGTATCTGAGTATCACATCCTTATCACCAAGTAGGAAGCAGAGTGTGTGAGCTAAATGGGAATGGCATGAGCTTTTGAAACCTCAAATCTCACCCCAGTGGCACATCTCCTCCAACAAGGCCACACCTCCTAATCCTTACCAAACAGTTCTACCAACTTTGGACCAACCATTTAATATGTGAGCTTAGAGTGGCCATTCTCATTCAAACTACCACACTGGCTTACTTAATTTCTTATGTCTGCCAAGGTTTACCAATGGTAAAATGGCAAGATTTTATATTTTTATGGTGTTCATATAAATGAATATTGTTTAAGTTGAAATAAATCAAACAATGGCAACTCACTTAAAAGTTGACAAACTGGGCTTCTTAGTATACTCGTGTAATCCCACCTCCTGAGACCAGAGGATTGTGAGTTTGGGACTAGCCTGGGCTTCACAGCAAGACTGACTCAAAACAAAACAAAACAAAAAGTTGACAAATACCACAATGTGGGTATGAAGATACTGCCGTGGAGGTTTTTATGTGGTACCATGGAAATAGAGGAAAGTATTGGAATTTAACTTTTGAGATTTGGATCTGAAGAAATTGAAGGTTTTTTTTTTTAAAATGGGGAGGGGGGTCCAGTCATTAAAGAGATGGTTCAACAGTTAAAAACATTTGCTGCTCTTCCAGAGGAACCAGGTTTGATGCCCAGTAACCACTTGGCCGCCCAAAACTGTTCATAACTCCAACTTACAGGAGATATGACATCCTTTCCTGTCTTCTGAGGGCACCAGGCACAGACATGGTACATAGACATACATGCAAGAACAACAAGTCATAACACAAAAAATTTTTTAAATGTGCATATAAATTTTAATTTTATTAAATTAAGGTTTGGGCTAGGGAGCTAACATAGCCAGTAAAGTACTTGGGGATCTGAGTTATGTTCCCATAATCTCTGTATAAAAATGCTGGTCTTGGTGGTATGTCCTTGTAATCTTAGCTCTGTTGAGGTGGAGCAGGTGGATCTCTGGGCTCACTGGCTAACCAGACTAGCCTGTGGGTGAATTCTAGGCCAAAAAGAGACCTAGGTAAGAAAGCACTCTATTGCTAAGATGCATTTGCAGCCCCAGAATTGGGGAGGGGGGTTGTTTGGTTGGTTAAAAAGTTTTTCCTGAAAAATAAGGTGATGTGAGCTTGGTTTATTTTTTTAATGATTCATTTATTTTTATTTTATGTGCATTGTTGTTTTGCCTACATGTATGTCTATGTAAGGGTGTCAGATCCATTACACAGAAGGGCTGGGACTGGAGAGATGGCTCAGTGGTTAAGAGCACTTGTTGCTCTTGTAGAAGACTTAAGTACACATTTTGGGCAACTTACAACTGTTGCTTATGCCTGTAGCTCTACTCTAGGAGATCCAATGCCCACTTTTGGCCTCTTTGGACAACCATACAAATGTGCATACAGACATACAAAATAATAAAAAATAAAGCTGGGCATGGTGGTGCATGCCTTTAATCCCAGCACTTGGGAAGTAGAGACTGGAAGATCTGAGTTTGAGGCCAGCCTGGTCTGTATACTAAATTACAGGACAGCCAGGGCTATACAGAGATACTTTCTAAAAGAAAGAAAGATGAAGAAAGAGAAAAGTAAGGAATGTGGGGTAGTGATGGCACACACCTTTAAACCCAGCACTTGGGAGTCAGAGGCAGGCAAGAAAAAAAAAAAGAAAAGGAAAGGAAAGAATAATAAAATCAGCCTCTTTAAAATTTGTAATTCATAATATAATAGAGTATAATAGTAGCATTCTGGGCTGGAGAGATGGCTCAGCGGTTAAGAGCACTGACTGTTCTTCCAAGGTCCTGAGTTCAATTCCCAGCAACCACATGGTGGCTCACAACCACCTTGAATAAGATCCAGTGCCCTCTTCTGGCGTGCAGGCAGAAGACTGTATAGACTGTATTCATAATAAATAAATAAAATCTTTAAAAAAAATAGTAGCATTCTAATTTCTAACAATAATCTAGAGATTATTGTATCCAAGTTGTATCGGGGATTCCTAGGTAGTTTGAGATACTATTTCTGCTTTCTATGT